GGCGGGGCAGCGGGGCGGGGCACCCTCACCTGTCCGTGTGCGGGGCTCAGCCTGGGCTCCGCGGTCTCTGCTTGCACCGGACGTGGACCCAGGCTGTTGGTGGGCAAGATAGAGGACTGAGCCCAGGCATGCACGGCTGGCCAATTAGGGCACCTGAAGTGCAGATCCTCCAGGCCCGCTGCCTGACTTGAATTCGCGCTGCTGGGCAGTTTCCAAGAAGACAGTGTCTGTCCCAAGAGGGGAGGTAGGGCAGGGGTGCCAGATGCCAGGTTGGGTGCGGTCTCAAAGGAAAGCCATGGTGAGAGGGCGGAGAGCAGCCCCAGTGTTGGCGGGGCTAGGAATTTGGGGTATGGGGTGGGAATGGTGTGTGCCATGCTCTGTGTTCTCCCCAAGAACTCTCACCCCCAAGCAAGGGACCCTGCTCCCTCCACCCTTCATTGCATACCCTGCCTTCCCCAGCACCACCGCCCCTGCCCCCAGAGTGTCCCATGACCTCTCCCCAGACCGGGCACTGTCCTTGTTACAGGTACTGAGCTCCTGGTGGTTCCAGCCCGAGGGTGGGGTGCTGTATCTGACCAGTTAGGATGCCTGGAGCCTTTGTATGAAACCTCAGACCATAATGCAGATGTGCACAGAGACCCCTCAAGCAGGATTGCCTGCATGGCCTTCCCCACCACGCACCCACAGCGCAGCTGCCACACAGGGCCAAGTCTGTCAGAGGACCGCTGGTCCCTCTCCTCCTGTCCCTGATCGAGTGCACCGCCCACACTGCTGGGTATTTAGGGGGCCTTAGAAAAGCAGCTGGTATTTTCATGGGCAAATATTTGCTCTTTTGGGAAGATTTGAGTGCAAAGGGATGTAGGATATGCTTTTTCTGTTGCCCTGGAACTGGTGACTAGAATGCAAACTTAAGTCAAGGCAGTTTTTAGAGAGAGCCGCAAAATATCTAACCCAAAGATCACTGTTCCCCAACAAAGGCAACGGGTGGGAGGCCTGGCCCCTCTTTTCTATGTTGGGGTTTGCACCCTGCAAGCTGTGACAGAGCCCAAAACAGCTCTGAACATGCTCCAACAGGCTTTTCCAGCACAAATTGCCTTTATTTTGAATCTGGGTGAAGGAACCAGTGGAGAAATCTGGGTAAATCTTTCTGGGTGTAACAATGCCTATTATGCTGAATGAAAGAGCGGCTCTCCACAAGCTAACATCTTAGAACTGAATGTGTGTCGAAGCCTTCATGCATGTAGCTTGTTGGGAACAGAGTTTCATGGTGAGGGGAACTATATAACTTACATGTGTATGGGGAAGTCCTCACTCCAACAGGCTTTTCCTGCACAAACTGCCTTTATTTCGAAATTGGCTCTTGCTGAGAAATCTTGGTAGGTGTTCCTAGGTGTAACCATGCCCATTATGCTGGATGAAAGAGTGGCTCTACACTTGTTCACATCTCAGAAATGAATGTCTGTTGAAGCCGTCATTCATGTAGCGTGTTGGGATCACAGAGTTTCGTGGTAGAAGAACTATGTAAATTACATGTCTATGATGAAGCACTCGCTCGAACTGGGTATTCCAGCGCATACTGCCTTTATTTCGAAACTGGCTTCTCAGAAGACCTGTGGTTTCCACTGCAGGTCTGGCTCCAAGCCCAGGGCCAGCATGATGACTCTGCTCCCCCTGTCTATTCTGGGAGGTCTAGGTGTCCTCCATGGCCCTTCCACCATTGTTTCTTTTGGAAACACCCCGCAGATGAAATGGGCCTGAGAACAGGATAGCTGAATGCCAACAGCCACTGCCCAGTGTGTGGCTCCTGGGAGACACATCTCCTCTCCGTGGGCTCTGATCTCCCCTCCCCTCTCCCCCACCCCCACCCCTCTCCTTCTGCCTTTCCTAATTGATCCCTGGATAGTGGTCCATACCAGAAATGACCTGGGAGAGGTTTTGAGAATTTAAGGGGAAAAAAAAGAGAGAAATCTTTAGACAAATTACTGAAAGTAACTTCCAATTTTCCCGGGAAAGTCCTCTTTCCAATGTTTAAGGCTAGTTGGCAGGGTGTCAAATTGCCTAAACACTCACATCTGAGCAATTGCTACCTCTTTCTCCAGCTCCCCGCAGCATCCACCTGTGACAACTTGGCTACAAGAGGGCAAGAAAGCTCTTTCCCCAGGCCGGCGCCAGCACAGAGTGGCTTTGGAGGCAGTGGAGGCTGAGAGAAAGGGCCCCGCCCTGAGGTTTGGGGTCCCTCCAGCCACAGCCAGAGGAGCGGGGTTTTCAGAGTGGCCCAGCAGGGAAACCAGGCAAGGCCGCCTGGCCCAAGTCTTCCCTGCCCAGAGAGCCCATGAACTGCTTTGGGCCCCACTCCACGTTTGGGCCCCCTGCAAAAAGGTAATACGGGATCCACACCTGAGAAGGCAGAAGGACGGCCTAGAGTCCCAGCAGGTGTGTCCTGTGAGACCTGTGGCCACATATCTTCCTTGTCTCTCCAGGTCACTGAAGGGTCTGTGCTGGGCACCTTGGTGGTCAGGGACATGGGAACAACTCTAAACTCTGAAGAAGGACAGAGAAACTCTTCCTGGAAGCAAGGATTCCAGGGAGATGCCTTGCCCAGAACTGAGGGTCTGTGTCCTGAGTAGACCCCTGGGAGGCAATGTGGGGTTGTGGGGTCCTCTTCAGAGAAGGGAGCAGGTGTGATTTCCGGGGGTGGGGTTCTGTACCGTCCAGTCATGTCCTTGTTTAAGACTCATTTACAAACACCTCCCAGTCCACCTAGGGGTGGCCCCAGG